TCTTAACCTCTTGTTTTTTTTTATGAAACTAAATGTCTAATTAGCAGCTTTATTGTGTTTACCTACTGGGACTTAAATCGTTTAGGAGAGGGTCCATTTTCCTCACCCACCTCTCCATCGCCACATTCGTCGTCTTGTGGATCTAAATGATGAGTGACTTGGAAGTTTCCAGCACTGTCAATAGGTAATGAACTATAATTGATACACACTATGTTTGCAGAATCTGCAGAGGTTTCAGGTAGTTTTAGAGAGTCTCCATCTTCCTGAGCTTCATTATCACCTGTATCAACCTCCTCTTTTTCTGGATCTGTGGAGTTGTCAAACGTTTGGGAGACGGTGAATAGTTCAGCATTACTAGCAGTAGTCTCCTTACCAACACTATTATCAGTGTGTTTTAAGCTGACAGTGGCATCTTCAGGGGAAGTAACTGTCTCTAATTTGTATTCTCTTTTTATACACAGTAGTTGTTGATATAATAAATCCCTATGCTGTGTTTCCAGTTGCTTCATTAGATTTTCAATGTTCTTGTCTAATGGTACACTTATTTGTTCCATCAAATCGTGTTCTCTTTGTTTACTTTTCTGGAGCTTGTCTTTCAAATCTTTAATCTGCAATAGATACAAAATGAGATAGATCAACAAAAAATATGTTAAACATGCTAAATACAGTTTATACAAGCATTCTGAGAGCATTGCATAAGCAATATGAGTTCTTATCCTCAAGTGTAATCTGCCCATTAAAAAAGAAAAAGGCCATAATTCTGACAAAAACGAAAGTGGAACAAAATGTAAATTTGATCTGTATCTCATCAAGGTAAACTCGCATACCTAAAATCAGCTTGATATCTGCAAGCATTTAGAAAAAAAACGCAGAAAACCCAGTGGGACAGACTGGCAGACAGACGGACTGAGAGACGAGGACTCAGCAGGAAACCTAAAAGCCCCCTCCCTTTCACCAGTAGTGAACTATTAAGAAAAATCTACAAGTACAACAAACTCTAATCTTTGGTTTTTTTTATAATTATGTTTAAAAGTTCTGATGTTCATTTCATTATGTATGACATTTGGAACTCCTCAGTTGACTCAAACACCTTGTGCTTGGAGTATTGTAGAGTCACAAGAGGTGTTCCCATAGCTAAAATGGTGGAAAATTTTTGCTAAGATTATGTGTCTGATAACTAATATTTGTAAGAATTGTGAAGTAATACTAGTATGACCAGAGAAATAATTTACTTTCTCATGTTACCACCAGATTTGTCTGAACACTACCCCATAATCAATTCTATTGACAAATGAAAGGGAAAAAAACTAAATTTTCTATTAGAAGTTGAAAAGGAAAATTTAGTGATTCCCCTTCACTACACATTTTCAATTGGTGGACAATAAATTTGAAACTACATTTTTAATAAAAATACACACCCCAAAAGAAACTTTTGGCCTCTAAACATGGTAAAACAAAAGACTTCTTTGGCCAGTAATAAAATTTTATCTGCATTTATATGCATAATGAGGTATGATTTATAAAGCAAACATACCAAATGTATTTTTTTTTAAATTAAGATAGAACTGCAACATGTATGGTAATTTTTCTCATGTTATAAATTGTACTGTAGTTTTGCACAAGCATATTCCAATACCACTCATAAATACTATTAGATTTATTAAATATAAATGTTGTTAATTTTCACTATTTACAACTTTAACTGATAAAGTTTCAATTTTGCATCTTTAAAATTATGTAGGAAGTAAAAGTTCTAATAAATTATTCTATTTCTGTCCAGAACTTAAATATCTACAGAAATTAAAGAGTGAGTCCATAAATTTTTACACACAGATAAAAAGAACAAACTTAGAATATTTAACTGAACCATGCTTGTCTTTTTCAATACAGTACAGAGAAATGCATCTATCACCTTCTATCTGTAGATTATCTAGGACCAATTTATTATATGTTACATGTATTATATTTACATAAACCTCTGTCTGTAGACTTTCTCCATCTTACATGACATTCTTACTGCTCCCTGTAAGTTCTCTATAAGTTCTTACCTCTGCTTTTAAGTTCTCTATAAGTTCTTACCTCTGCTTGCAAGTTCTCTATAAGTTCTTACCTCTGCTTGTAAGTTCTCTACAAGTTCTTATGTCTGCTTGTAAGTTCTCTATAAGTTTTTATCTCTGCTTGTAAGTTCTCTATAAGTTCTTACCTCTGCTTGTAAGTTCTCTATGACAAACTTAAGTTGAGTCTCCATCTGGTGCTTGCTATCCTGTAATTTCTCATATTTCTGCTGCAGTTCTTCTAATTGGTTGTCTGAGTTCTGATGGACAGCATGTTCTTTCTCTTCCTCTATCCCAACATCCTAAATAACAAAATACACAGTCTATTCTCATTTGCTTTACATGCATGTATTTCTGCACTTCTCCTATTTTTTTTTTCCAAGGAGGAAAACTTTCCCAAGTATGTGTTTTGGATTTTGACTCTGTATCATAAAGCTATTGAAATCTTCATTAATGGAAGAATTTTTATCATTTTATTTTCAAAAGTAATTTACTTTCATTATACCATATTATAAAAGATGCTACATGTAGCATTGATTAAGAATGCAGGAACTATTAAAAGAAATTAAGTTATACTGGTAATCTGCTGACAAATGTCCTTGAATGTCAACTCTTCACATGCTTCATAAAAATTTGAACGGAAGATACATGCAAATGATCAAACACCTGTTATTAGATGAGGCATACTTCACTAGAAATAATTTGTGTTGTATATGAGCCTCCATCCTCAGATTCCCCCTGGTCCTCATGAATGATCATAATGTGTGTTTGTGGAGCATCTGTGGAATCCACTGTCTCGTTGGCAGCCACAGACACCTGCATCGTACCATCCAGCGGCTTCCCATTAGTCATACTGACCTGGGTCGTCTGGGGGTTCAGAAGGGCTGTAAGGAGACATTAAAAAGTATTCAATTACTATAAAGAGACATTAGGAAAGACATATAATAAACATTACCAGAGTCTACCAGTCTTAGACTACTTTTAAAGGCAGTTATGATTTTTTTTTCATATGAATTTTTATAATTAGTAATTCAGTACACAAGTACTGTTTAAGCAATATATATATTACCGGTAGGTAAATTCTTCAAATATGGAAAATGCTAGGAATATCAATAATTTTTGGGCTATATCTGAGAATCGTACTGTCATTAGGACTGCCAACTCAAATCCACATAACCATGCTTGCTATTTGACACATTGGTGTTCAAGACACAGAAGTCAAGTGGTGATAGTGTCCTTGTAATCTATATTTTTCTGTAATTTTTTGAAAATGAACTAAGAACGTATATTAGTAGAATTATTCTGTAATGCTTACACTTATACCCCGTGTCAGCTAGACTGGTGGACATAACAGCCTGCGTAAGGACTGGGTGGATGGACAGTTCTGTTGGCTCTATAGTGTCATCTTGGTAAGAACATGGATTATTGATCTCCTAAAGTCAAAACATATAATACATTGATTCTTTTCTGGTCAAACATTTTACACTTTCTACTTCTTTTCATGTACAAGAAATATTAATTGAATAAAATGTTATATTAAAAATAATACATGTAATTTTCTTTTGTAACTATACTGCACAAAATAATTTAAATTCATGGATTGTGCTTTTAGAGGTTATATTAATTTATGTAATGGAATCCTGCCTGAGCAATCTGGATTTGAAAAGTGGTCTGTGGATTTCTAAAGTGGGTCTTGTAATGTTTAATAGCTTCGTCTCTTCTGTTGAAGCCATTTCGACACTTGTAGCAATGCCAGTGAGCTCCTTTAAATTTCTTTTCTCCTTTGATGATACCAACAATATCACAATGGTCACAGCATCTTAAGATTTTCAGTCCTGTACATTAAAATTCAATAATAAGGTGATTTCACAGCTGATCAATATATATATTTACTAAATGTTTATAAAGTGAACTTTTTTTCTCTGATTGACAGAACAACAAATAATCAAATCATCAAAATAGATCAATGAAAACACACCTGCAAAATCTATTCCTTTATCAACATGTTTTACACGAAAATGCGCTTTCAATATAACTGGATCATGATAGAAATCTCGCTTGACACAGAAAGGACAATGCATGTGAATTGAGTTGTCAGGACATCTGTGGTCCATACATCTCACCGGATTATAATTGTTCTCTGTGCCTTTGATTCTAACACTTGGGTGAGTCTGAAAATACGTAAATGGGTAATTTAAGTTGCTTCATGTACATACTACATAAGGCAAAATAGACTACATTTGCAATATATAGTATGGAGAATGCCTAGACGTGGTTACATTATTTTTGCACCAAATAATTCCTTACTCATTTCTTCAAGGAAGCAAATCTTACTAGTTACATAGATAATATACAGGCTTCATGCTATTTCTGGCCGTTATACTGTTCAATTATTTATTTTTAAATTTATACAAAGTTTAAGCTTTAATATATATTCCATTTTTATACAGATTATTTCTTTTACTTGTCAATTTTTTGTTTGCTTGTTTCTAGACATCCAGAAACAAAGTGACACGGTGCTCAGTTTGCATGGTATTAACCGAGTTACTTACGACAAATGTATTCATTGCGAATCGTGCTTGTCCTATAAATTTGTATTCAGTTATCCATGCCTGTCAAAATAGAGCTTGAAGTTTGATATTCCCTCGGCCTTTCTATGTGTGTAACGTCAGAAAATTCTGCTTATGCAGAAAATTGTGTGACGTCATATATTTGGTGGTTAGTATAAATAAGTCGTACGATAAATAGTTTTTTTTATTTTTTTTATTTTTTGGTTTTGTTTTGTTATGTGTATCATTACCAATTCGCTTAAATGATATCAAGCAACTGGCCTTTCTTTTCTTTGTTCTTTAATCACAAGAAAATATTATTGAAAAAGTATGGAATTTGCATACTATGAATGCCGATCCCGATGAAAAATAAAGTGCGATCAATGCATGCTCCATAACTTGACCTTCTTCAAACAGTGGCAAGTGTCAAGAGGTACATGTATATAATTTTATTTAATGTTAAATTTTGTTTCTGTTTCATAATATGTACATTGTAATACATTGTTAAAAATGGTAGTAGTGACACTATCATTCAGTTTCATCAGACATATCAATATTTAAAGGTGAAAATTGCTTGGAAAGAACATTTAAAACACTTGAAGGAAGCAGATATTGGTGAGGTTCTAAAGTAATATTTTTGTACCATGATAATGTCAGATGGATTACATGTAATTAAAATATTACCAGGTCTAGATAGAATGTTCCATCGTTAAAATGATAAATGTCCTACGGACCCGGTGAGGGCCTGTCCCGAGACACAGTTAGATTATTCTAACTATACCAGGTCCAGTCCAAAGACTATTTCTACCTACTTAGCTAATAATAGCTACCTAGGTATGTAAACCTACCCAAAGTAGCTATTTTTACCTACTTTTTTCATTACTTGCATTTTGTGGCCAAACGGCCAAATGGCGCAACATGGTGAGCACCAAATTTCTTGATACAGTCACACTGATGATGAATAGGACAAAATTTGGGCCAAAAAATGATTACTTCATAAATTAACAATTTTGCATAGTAATTAATGCAAAATTGTTAATTTACGACAGTGAACCTTAACATGTTAACATGGTTAAGCGCATAAATTCTGCGCAGTCGCTATTTTTTGGAATAACACCCGTTGTCAAGCAATGTTGACTGTTGCTTCAGCGGATAATAGTGTTTTTTAACAAATACTTCTCGAGGAATCAGATTCAACTACCGGTAATTTACTTGAAAGTATAATATTATACAAATTAAGGGAGACATCACAAATTATCACGTCTGAGTTGCAGAGTAGAGTTGTTACCCAAGTGCTCTTATTTTTTTCTGAAGTGAGACAACACAGTTGTTAGTGTAACCCTGCACAAGTAGGAGACATCACGAATTGTCTCCCTGCATATGACATGCTCTAGACCAATCAAATTGACTGCATTATTCAGAAGGATAATAACTGAGGTTGATTTATCAATTGTCTTATAAACTCTGAAAAATTGATATCATTATTGGTAAGCATGGTAAGGCGTTAACTTGATAAATTAAAATTAAAATTAATGCATTTAAAGCTGTTCAGTTTTACCTATGGACATCTAGATTCACTGATTCTCAATATGATGAATGCATATCATGAAAAAATGGAATAAAGCTTCTTGCTTGGTGGGAAAAATTTAAAAGAGAGAGATTAATAGTTGATAAAATTTGTGTTTATATAAATTTCATTTGAACAGTGACTTAATTCAACTTTGATATTAATGATTTTATGTCCCCCATAATTGAAGATCTGGTTGTCTATAGTTTATCAGAATTCTTTAAATCTAAAATGGGTCTTTTACAAGGGGAAGTATTGTCCCCGATATTATTCTCTCTGTATGTGAATGATTTTGAAATGGCATTTTTAACAAAGGGCAATATTCCATTACAAATATTAGAATTAAATCTTTTTGTTCTTATGTATGCTGATGACATGGTAATTTTTGCGGAAAGTGTAGAAGAACTACAGTCTATGTTAAATACATTGTATACTTATACCAAAAAATGGGATTTAACAATTAATGTAGAAAAGACTAAAATTGTTATATTTAGAAATGGAGGAAAAACTGGTCATAATGAAACATGGCATTTAAATGGAGAACCTATTGAGATTGTTGACAAATTTATCTACTTGGGAATGCTTTTAAATTATAATGGAAAATTTAATATCACACAGAAGCAATTTTATACACAAGGTAGAAAAGCTATGTTCTCTCTGAAAGCTAAAACTAGTGAAATGTATTTGAACACAGAAACAATGTTATCTCTGTTTGATACTTATGTTGCTAGTGTTTTAAATTATGGATGTGAAATTTGGGGGTTTCATAATGCAAAAGATGTAGAAAATGTGCACTTGCAATATTTAAAATATGTGTTAGGTGTAAGAAAAAATACAAACTCTGTAATGATTTATTATGAAACTGGGAGATACCCATTGAAGGTAGTAAGGTTACTTAGAATTATCAAATTCTGGTTCAAGGTGTTAAAAAGTGAAAATTGTATTCTCTTAGCTTGTTATAATATGTTACTTCAGGAATGTGAAAAAAAACAAAAATATATAAACAGCTGGGTAACAAATATAAGAGAAAAATTGTTTGAAATTGGGCTAGGCAACCTTTGGTATGGTCAGGAAAGCAATCATATAAATTCACATTTTCCTATTATTAAACAGAGAATTGTAGATATTTTTATTCAAACAAGTTTCGAGCAAATAAATTGTTCATCAAGATGCAAAATTTTTAAGCATATCGTTGATAATTTCTCTCTCCAATATTACTTAACAAAAGCTATTCCAATCAAATATAAGAAGCAATTAAGCAAAATACGTATGTCATCCCATAACCTTGCTATTGAATATGGTCGTCACAATAACATACCAGTAAATAACAGATATTGTAAAATGTGCCATTTAGATATTGAGGATGAATTTCATTTTATTTTGAAATGCCCTTACTTTAGTGATATTAGATGTCGATATATTAAGAAATATTACTGGAAAAAACCTTCAGTTTTTAAGTTAATACAACTGCTCAGCGTAAAATTTTTTAAAGAACTGTGCAATTTAGGTATTTATCTCAAACATGCTTTTGAAGTACGAGAAAGTGTCACAAAATCATTTTCTGTCTAATATATATATGGTCAAACTGTATAATACTAAAGTCTGTTACAATTTAACATTATATACTACATATATTTGTATTACCATGTCACATAACCTTAATCTTTTGATGTTTGTTAACTCAATGCTATAAGATGTATGTCTTGGGCAATAAAGATTATTATTATTATTATAGTTTTGGTCTGTTTGTGTGTTAATCTGTTTTGTCTGTAAATTTGTTTGTCCACAAAAACATTGACCTTGCCCATAATTTTTGAATGGTTGGTGCTAGGATCTTCATATTTCACATGTAATATATACTTATGACAAGGCCTTTCTTTGGGTTTCAACATTTTTGACCTCTTGACCTTGGAGTTTGACCTACATTTGAAAAAAAAAAAAACTATAACCTTGCCTATATTACTTCTGAAAGGTTGGTGCTAGGATTTCATATTTCACTTATGTTTTCCTTATGACAAGACCTTTCCTTTTGAAGCATTTCACCTTATACTTGACTTCATGACCTTGACCTTAGAACATGACCTACTTTTGAAAAACTTTAACCTTGGCCATATTTTCTGAATGAATGGTGCTAGGTTTTTCATATTTCACTTGTGTATTCCTGTGACAAGACCTTTCTTTGGGACCAACCTTTATAAACTCTTGACCTTGGGGTTTGATCTATATATTTAAAAAGAAAACTTTAACCTTGGCCTTGAGCTGCCACATGGGGTTACCAGTGTTTCACAAACACATTTATTTTTTTTTAAATTTATTTATTTGGTCTTTTAAGGTCACCTGAGTCACTCAGGTGACCTATTGCTATCCATTCTCGACCGTCGGTGTGCGTCGTGCGTTAACATTTGAACATTTTTAGCTTCTTCTCTAAAACCACTTAACCAATTTCAACCAAATTTGGCATATAGCATCTATGGGTGAAGGGGAACAAAAATTGTGAATTTCATGGTCCCTGCCCCCCCTGGGGCCTGAGGGGTGGGGCTAAAACCAACAAAAATAATGCAATGTTTAAAAATCTTCTTCTTTACTCCTGGACATCAAGCAGTCAAACTGTTGGCATCATTGTAATAAGCATTGAGCCCTCTACCAAAATTGTGAAATTCATGGCCCCAGGGTCAGGGGTTCTGGCCCCAGGGTGGGGCTATATAGATCATATAGTGAAAGTGCATTATTTCTTTGAAAATCTTCTTCTCTGCTTCTGGGTATTAAATAAAGTAACTAAGTACATAGTTATGAAGAGCAAGAGTGTCTCTTCCAAAATTGTGAAATTCATGGCCCCAGAGTCAGGGGTTCTGGTGTTAGGGTGGGGCTCTATTGAATATATAGTGAAAATGCATTAATTCTTTGAAAATCTTCTTCTCTGCTCCTGGGTATTAAATAAAGTAATAAAGTACATAGTTATGATGAGCAAGAGTGCCTCTTCCAAAATTGTGAAATTCATGGCCCCAGGGCCAGAGGTTTTGGTGTTAGGGCGGGGCTCTATTGATTATATAGTGAAAATGCATTAATTTTTTGAAAATCTTCTTCTCTGCTCCTGGGTATTAAATAAAGTAACTAAGTACATAGTTATGATGAGCAAAAGTGCCTTTTCAAAAATTGTGAAATTCATGGCCCCAGGGTCAGGGGTTCTGGTGTTAGGGTGGGGCTCTATTGATTATATAGTGAAAATGCATTGATTCTTTGAAAATCTTCTTCTCTGCTACTGGAGATTATTTAAACAAACTAAGTGCTTGGTTATGATGCATAAGGATGCCTTTTCAAAAATTGTGAATTTCATGGCCCCAGGGTCAGGGGTTCTGGTGTTAGGGCGGGGCTCTATTGATTATATAGTGAAAATGCATTGATTCTTTGAAAATCTTCTTCTCTGCTACTGGAGATTATTTAAACAAACTAAGTGCATGATTATGATAGGCAAGGATGCCTCTTCCAAAATTTTTAAATATATGGCCTCAGTTTTTGGGGTTCTTGAGGAGGGGGGGGGGGCTCTATTGATTATATAGTGAAAAAGCATTAATTCTATTAATTAATCATTAATTAATCCTGTCTGCTCCTTAGTGTTGAGCTGATAAATAAATTGCTTAGCTGTGATGAAAATGGGAGCTTCGAACAGAATTTTTAAATCTTGTGGTCCTAGGGTCAGGGGTTCTGGCATAACGAGAGGGGGGGGGGGGGGTGTGATAATTTATATAGTGGAAAAGTGTTAATTCTTTGAAGTCCATAGTTATGATGATGCGGGTAACTCTTCCAAATTTGTAAATTTCTTGATCCTTGGTCTTGGGTTCTGGTGTTAGGGTAAGGCTTTGTTGAATCTGTAGTGAAAATGCATTGTACCTGTGAAATTCTTCTCTGCTTCTGGGCATATCGGAAGAAAACTGAGTAACAGTTTAAATGATATAAGTAAGCTTATTTCTACCAGATTTTTTAACATTTGGAGCATTTGTCTAAGCATTCTGGTCCTGGGCAGGGCTCTATTAATTTGTATTCTACTGTGAGAAGTTATTCCCCTTTTCCATTCACCTTTGATAATTAATCACTGTAAATAATGTATTCGAAAGGTTAATAGAATAAGATAATTATGCAAGAATGTTTATTGTATAATTCAAAAAGTACTTTCTTAGTTTTAATAATCAAGTAGACCTGTATGTAATAGATAAATAAAAATGAGACAAAAATAACTTATCTTATTAAAAGTTCTTCAAAGACCATAAGAGAGGTCAATGCTAGAGGTCTTAATATGGGTTCAAAAATAGTACAGAAGCACTAATAGTTTGTTAATAGTCTGCATGGAGATAGTGTTAAGTGGGGGACAGATTATAACTTAATTTATGAGTTGATACTGAATACTAGACTAATTATTTTGTTGATCCTGATCTTCCTACTTCTCTTGCTTTAGGACAACAAAGCTTCATCTATCAGTATATTTAACTTCTAAATTGTTGTATTATACTCAGGTGACCGATAAGGCCCTTGGGCCTCTTGTTTCTTTTGTTGTTGTTGGGTTGGGTTGGGGGGGTCCATAAAATGTCCTCAGAGTTTAAAATTATAATTTTCTTTTGTCAGTGAAATTTCACTACTTCAACATTCATAAATAGCCAAATGTCTGTTTTCTAATTTCAATGTAGATGATGGATGATGTCCACCAAAAATGGATGGTGAAATCATTTAGCTTTGCAGAGGTAGCTTTAGAAGCTGGAGAGGTACCTGTGGGGTGTATTATGGTGTATAATGATGAAATTATAGCTGTAGGAAGAAATGAAGTCAATGAAACAAAAAATGCCACCCGCCATGCTGAAATAGTAGCCATAGACCAGGTGTTGAGGTGGAGCAAAGACCATGATATAGATTATGCAAGTGTATTTAATAAAACAGTTTTATATGTTACTGTAGAACCATGCATCATGTGTGCAGGTGCTCTAAGACAAGTGGGAATCCCCTTGGTTATATTTGGATGTCGTAATGAACGTTTCGGAGGCTGCGGATCCATATTGTCTGTACATGATGCCAACATTACTAGTCTTGGTCCTTCTTTTCAGTGCATAGGTGGCATAATGAAGGAAAAAGCTGTTGATTTGCTGAAAAAATTCTACCAAGGGGAGAATCCAAATGCCCCTGAAGAAAAAAGGAAATTAAAGAAAGAGGAATCAAAATAGATATACAATTCACAGATATTTTGTTCTCTTTCCAGATGTTGGATGATGGACAGTGAAACTGAACTGCCATGTTTATCCAAAATAAAAATGTGTTGTTGAAGATTTGTATACCGAAGTAAATTCATTCAATGGACTGTGCAATATAATTGAACTGAGAGCCATCTCAAGAGGACCTGAAATATCTGTTAATTATTGGGGTTGAAAACCAATCATTCAAAGACATGTTTACACATACAAGGAAGTGTTTCCATATAAAATCAACTCTGTTCCAAAGAAATAATTCCACACAGACAGGACGAAAGAAACTAGTGATTCTGGGAACAGGATGGGGTGGTTACAGCTTGCTCCGGAATATTGATAAGAAGATGTACGATGTGGTGGTGATAAGTCCCAGGAACTACTTTTTATTTACACCATTACTGGCTAGTACAACTGTCGGAACCTTAGAATTCAGGTGCACTGATGTACATATAATATGTTTAATTTGAATTCCTTGATAAACAGGACTGCATGGGTCGAAATAGGTGAATTATTTTTTTTTTCTCACCTGTTATTGTGAATTGTTTGCATGTGGTTTAATGTAAAGCTTTTAGTTTCCTTTGCTGCAAATTAAACATATATGAATAATATTTTAGTTGTTTAATCATTTGGAAGTTGTAAAGACATCTCATCTTCTCTTTGATGTCAATCTTTAGTTTTCTACAGGTCTATCATTGAACCAGTGAGAAATACACATTTCCGTCAGACGGGAGACTTCCATTTGTCATATGCTTCCAAATTAGACATGGAGAATAAAGTTCTCCATTGTGAGAGTGTACTGCAGCCAGGACTTGGGTACAAACTGAATTACGATAATCTGGTGATTGCAGTGGGGGCTCGCAGCAACACATTTAATGTACCAGGAGTGGAGGATCATGCTTTTTTCCTCAAGGTAAAATTATTATTGTTGTACTCTGAATGTTTCATTGAAATATTTCTCAAATCTCAAGCAAGTTGATACTATAACTATTGTTTTAACTTTAATGTTTTGAGTCAGGTCAAATGTATCTGTACAATCAAATGAAGAAGTTGAAAGGAAATGTTGATATTAGGACCAATATGGCAAATTACAGTTGAGTCATTCACCTGCATGGCACAGTGGTTAGAGTGTTTGCTCTAGAGTCTCGGAGTAAGGAGTTGATCCTTACTTCACAGGTTTGAATCCACTTTGTGACATGGAGACCAGTTTTTCTGATAAGACTGTAATATAAACCGAGATCCTGTGTCGCAGTAGGTGCTGCCTTGAAAAAGATCTCTCACTGCTCAAAAGCTGTAAGTGCTGAGTACAGGTCTAAATTTGTAGCCCTCCACCGGCAAGTGGTGGCATCTCAATGTGAGTGAAAAATTCTTAAATGGACGTTAAACAACCAACCAAACAAACAGATGAGTCTTTATGTTGTTAACTGTTTAATTTGGCATGTGACCCCCCCCCCCCCTTTTTTTTTAATAATAACACGGATATAACTTTTTTAATAAAATGTTTATTCTACATTATTTTTTTGAATTTCCATATGGAATACATTGTAAATGTGTGGTAGAAGAATAATTTATGAAAGAAGACGAATGAAAATATCCTTGGACCCAGGATGTATGCAGGTATTTGGGGGTTGGGGAGGGGGGGGAGGGGGGGGAGGGAGGTCCTGTCCACAAGCAGCTGTGCTACTGATATAGTGTTTCGATCTACCTGTATATACAAAATGTAAAATAATACACAGTAAATAGTGCTGATTTCATAACCCTGCAGGATATACCAGATGCAAGGAGAATAAGGAATAGAATCATAAACAACATAGAGCTCTCACTTCACCCAGGGTTAGATGAAAGTGACAGGAAGCGGTTACTGAATTTTGTGATTGTTGGGGGTGGACCAACAGGGGTGGAGTTTGGTGCTGAACTGTATGACTGGATTCAACAGGTATAAATTTAAGAACATTTCAATGGTTTTTAATGATTTACATTGTAATAAATTATTCTAGAGGAATGATTAGATGTACTCAAATCTCACTATTAGAATTGAACTTTTCAGCTCAACTTAAAAACAAGAGGCCCATGGGCCACAGCGCTCACCTGAGAAACTTTGGCCTTGCTGTTTTTCACCTGATTTCTCCCCCCCCCCCCCCCCCCCGTAGTACTTATTGTGGCCCCAACCTACCCCCGGGGATCATGATTTGAACAATTTAGAATCTACACTACCCCAGCATGCTTCCAAGTAAGTTTCAGCTTATCTGGCCCAGTGGTTCTTGAGAAGAAGATTTTTAAAGATTTTTCCTATATATTTCTATGTAAAACATTGATTCCACATTGTGGCCCCGCCCTACCCCTGGGGGTCATGATTTGAACAATTTAGAATCTACACTACCCCAGGATGCTTCCATATAAGTTTCAGCTTTACTGGCCCTGTGGTTCTTGAGAAGAAGATTTTTAAAGATTTTTCCTATATATTTCAATGTAAAACTTGGATTCTCTATTGTGGCCCCGCCCTACCCCCGGGGGTCATGATTTGAACAATTGGAATCTACACTACCCCAGGATGCTTCCAAGTAAGTTTCAGCTTATCTGGCTCAGTGGTTCTTGAGAAAAAGATTTTTAAAGATTTTTCCTATATATTTCTATGTAAAACATTGATTCCACATTGTGGCCCCGCCCTACCCCCGGGGGTCATGATTTGAACAATTTAGAATCTACACTACCCCAGGATGCTTCCATATAAGTTTCAGCTTTACTGGCCCTGTGGTTCTTGAGAAGAAGATTTTTTAATGACCCCACCCTATTTTTGTCTTCTCTTGATTATCTCCCCTTGTGAGGGGACCTGGCCCTTCATTTTAACAATTTAAATTCCCCTTCACCCAAGGATGCTTTGTACCAAGTTTGGTCAAAATTGGCCCAGTGGTTCTTGAGAAGAAGTCAAAAATGTGAAAAGTTTACAGACGGACGGACAGACAGACGGACAGACGGATGGACGGATGACGGACAAAATGTGATCAGAAAAGCTCACTTGAGCCTTTGGCTCAGGTGAGCTAAAAACAAGATGTGTTTGTGAAACACTGATGCCCCCGTATGGCAACTTATAGTGAATGTTAAACATTCTTAAATGCAAATCTTGTCCTGAGGAATATACCTAAGAAATATGAAAGTCCTAGCAGCAAACATTGAAAAGATATGGAAAAGGTTATAAGTTTTTCAAAAGTAAGTCAAACATCAAGGTCAAGGTCAAATGGTCAAAATTAATGGTGATCAAGGAAAGGCCTTCTCACACATGTGAAATATAAAAGCCCTAGCACCAATGGTTCAGAAGATATGGCCAAGGTTAAAGTTTTTCAAAAGTAGGTCAAACTCCAATGTCAAGCTCTAGCACCAATTGTTTAAAAGTTATGGCAAAGGTTAAAGTTTTTCAAAAGTAAGTCAAACTCCTAGGTCATGGTCAAAGGGTCAAAGTTGTTAGTTTCCAAAGGAAGGTCTTGTCACAAGGATTACACATGTGAAGTATGAAAGCTCTAGCACCAATTGTTTAAAAGTTATGGCAAAGGTTAAAGTTTTTCAAAAGTAAGTCAAACTCTTAGGTCATGGTCAAAGGGTCAAAGTTGTTAGTTTCCAAAGGAAGGTCTTGTCACAAGGATTACACATGTGAAGTATGAAAGCCCTAGCACCAACTGTTCAAAAGTTATGGCCAAGGTAAAAGTTGGGTAAAATTTTGTAAAACTGGGTCAAACTCCAAGGTCAAGGTCAAATATGATGGTACCCAAAGAAAAGTCTTGTCACAAGAAATACACATGTGAAATATGAAAGCTATAGCTCCAACCAATAAAAAGTTATGAGCAATGTTAAAGTTTTTGCGGACGAACAGACAGACGGATGGACAGGGCAAAAACTACATACACTTTACTCCTGAATGTTCAATACGGAGGCATAAAAAATCTAACAGTGGTAAAGAGGATTCAAATTTGTATTTAAAATAAAAGGGCAAAATTTCTTTTAAAGACTGCAAGGGGGAGGGAAGGTAAATAATGGTGATAATGTGATCGGATAGTTTTTAGGTCTTTTCATTACATTTTTCTAGGGGAAAAAATTGGTCCAATGATACATGTAGGTTAATTTAGTACATGTACATCTATACAAAAAATCTTTTAAAATTTTCCGTAGAGAGTCTGAACAATAATTCTTGAAATATTGAAAGGATATGCAAGCATGCTCATTTACATGTCATTGCATTACATGGTAGCAACTGTCAAATACAATCATATTGTCATGTTATGTATAGATTAATGTCAGGTAAAATCATGACCACTCAAGCCAAATTGGTGCTCTGATAAAATACTTTCTATGAAATATATTCTGTTGTAGGATGTAGCCCGAGTTTACCACCAGAGAAAAGACCAGGTACATGTGACCTTGGTAGAATCCAATCAGATCTTGGGGTCATTTGATGAACGGCTCAGGAATTATGCTGAAAAGAAAATTAAAGAAAGAGATCGATTTAAACTTGTCAAATCATCTGTCACAAGTAATTCATGCTTATTTTAAAGTCTAAAATAGATTTTTTATGGGGCTAAAAGAATCAAATTTCAGTTGGTGCAATTTATATGTTACAACTTTACTTTCATTTTATCATTCCCATTTTATTATTGTTTTTTATAATGCAGTTTTAGGTTGAAAATGAGATAGAATAAAATGTGATTTGGTGAAATACATGAACCGGTATGACAGTTTTACAATCCCTAGATTTTGTCTTACCATGTGTTTTAGGGGTGACATCAACCTGTGTTAAATTAAGCAGTGGGGAGGACCTACCATGTGGTCTGGTTGTATGGAGCACTGGTTTATCACCTACCTGGTTTGTCCAATCACTGGACGTCGAGAAAAACAGAAATGGACAGGTATTGTTAAAAAATATATCCTGATACACACAGCAAGATAAATCAAGAATAATTAAATTCTTAAATTTTTACATTCATGTTCTGGCCCTTTATTTGTTAACTTCACATACAATTTCTACAACAATCTTATTTTATGATTGTTACATTTGTATTGTAATGTTTTGCATGTACTATGGGGAAATAACAATTTTGATTTTGTCACTTACTGCACAACCAGAAAGATTATTCATTATAAGCAAAAACTTTATTTTCTATGTCAGTATTGTACATTTAAAACACAGCATTATCATTATTCACATGCTGAACTCATTTGTGTTCTGTACATAAGTAATTACTCGTACTCATTCCAAATGGGTCAGCTTATGACATTATTGTTCTCACTGTGACATTGGTAGACTGTGCCTCACAGTCGTCTTCACTTACTAGTATCACTCAAGTGTTTATAAAAGTCAGTAGCCATGAACAGTGGTAGTTAGCAAGTGGATAGTCATGTGCTTGTATAATATGTAAATGTTACTCTTCGAAAATGGTAGGGTACAAAATTCATGCTCATAAAGAAACCTTGAAATGCAGTATATATTTTGAATTTGAAGAATTGCTATCATTATTTTGGTTCTTCAAGGAATAATCATGGCTTTCAACAAAAGAACAAACTTGGATAAAATTTTTGAGTGAGAATAAAAGCTATTTAAAAATAAAATTTGTTTTTCAGATTCTAACTGATAAAAGTTTACATGTGATAGGAGACCCTAAACACAGCGTGTTTGCTATGGGTGATTGTGCAGACATAAAAGACAACTCACTTCCTTGCATAGCACAGGTAAACAGACAGTTCACTTTTTTGGGCAGCTCACCTCTTTGCATAGCACAAGTAGGCAGGCTACTCACCTCCTTGCATAGCACAAGTAAGCAGGCAGCTTACTTCCTTAAATAGCACAGGTAAGTAGGAAGCTCAATTCCCTGTTATGCACAGGTAAGCAGGCAACTCACTTCATTGTAAAGCAAAGGTTGGCAGACAACTTACTTCTTTGAGCAGACAGCTCACTTCCTTGTATAATACAGGTAAGCAGGCAGCTCACTTCCATGTACAACACGACTGTTTTTTAGCAATCGCATCTTCTCGGAACTTTCCGGCAAGCTCAGTAAACATATCTGAGGTTGTGGCGGTTTTCCGAACTTGCCGGAAAAATCAATGAAGGTAGATTTGAAAAGCTAAGTATTCATTACAATTTTAGAAATAACAGTCTTCGTTTTATAAGACCCGAGTAACTGTTACTTTTTGTTCATTTACGTACAGGGTAGACAACAAAACCCGAAACTTCAGATCATAATGTATTTTCAGATGATAAAAACTAAACTGACGTCTTTCCAACATACTCTGGAAAGATTTTTTTCCGAGCTTGCCGAAATTATCCAGGAAGGTGGTATAACTGTGAGGAAAGCTAGATGTCTAGAATCTTGGCATTATATGACCTAAGTTTTTCTTGTACTTTTATGTGTAGGTTAGACAATAAATTAAAAAAAATCAGAATCCGGATCTAGACTGGTATTGCCTGTCTCTAACGTAAGAAATGTATATCGCACATATCAGACAGGAAAGGCTAGTGTAAATTCTTATCATATCTATATTTGTATGACAAAACGAAAATGTTATCGCACAGTCTATCTACAGTAGTTTTCCCAGAATGCCCGACCGTGAAGTCGAGCATGCGTATTCCAGAAATATAGACTAACGTAGTTGCTAGCGCTCGAGAGCGCTAGCAAAAAACTTAGTTTGTGGGATGGCACATGCAAAAATAGAAAAAGAAACCTCATTTTCTTCCTGTATAACAAAGGTATAAGACAGTGACAATTTTTTATTTCACATGAAGATCAACAAACTTCTTTTTTATATATGACAGACACTTAAAGTTATAAGTGCTTTATTTTCTTAAGGATTATAGTGTTGACCAAGATTATTGAATTCATCCAATGTCATATGCTATGCCTATGAGATTGCTCAACCCCATATATTTTTGTAGTTGGTAAAAATCTTAATAAAGTAATAATGTCTACATGTATATTGCATATATTGATTTCAGGTTGCTGAGAAACAAGGGGAATATATAGCAAAATATCTGTGTGGAAAAATAGACAAGGACAAGAACTTTACGTTTCAGAGCCAAGGGATGTTGGCTTACATAGGAAAATACCAGGGTGTTTCTGATATTCCAAACCTGAAGATGCAGGGTATGGTGAAATACAATAAAATGCTAAATGTGTACTTATTTTAATTAACTCATTCATTAATTAGGACCATCAGTATTTCTCTGAATTATATCATTAAATATAAAATCAGACTTTGGAGGCATTTATCAATTAGCAGATAAAGGATTGTACGAAGGATGCATAAATAGGAATCTTGCTAGAATAAGTACCGTATATACTCACCTATAAGTCGGTTCGCCTATAAGTCAGTTGTATTTTTGAAGCTTATATTAGAGGGATTGACCTTCTAAAATACCTATCTTTTTATAACTCGCCTATGAGTCGGACATACAGTTTTGGACCAAAGTTTAACTCCCAAAAATCCGACTTATAGGCGAGTATATACGGTAGGCTATATGAACAGATGTACAGACTTGTACATGTCTATATAATGTAGCTATAAAGAAAAGTGAACAGATAAAAATGACTTGGACATAAATTGTTAATGACTATGTAAATAATAACACTAATGCTGAAAACTGTTGGGTAGTAAACTTTGTATGCTGGGAATATAAAATCTAATGATCCCTTTAAAACAGGCAAAATTTTAATTGATTTGATGGTGTTTTTGACATTGTATACCGATATGTAAAATTCTATAGGTGTGACCTCCTGGTTCCTATGGAGATCAGCATACCTGACAAAGCTGGGAAGCTGGAGGCTACGAATGCAGGTTCCAATGGATTGGACAAAAGCTCTTCTATTTGGCAGGGATGTCTCAAGATTTGACTGAGTGAATGCAGTATTCTGGCTTTATTGTCGTTAGACCTTTTTGTTTGGCAAGATTGTCTCTATAGATAAATTTAGTCTCAATTTCTCAATTGTAAATACATATCTGCAAAGAGATGTGATAATTGTAAGAAAATATATGTGTACCCTGTTATAAATGAGTAAATTTCATGCTTTATGCTTATTGTGAACATTGTGCTCATTTTCCTCCTGATTTCACTGCCTTAGGTTATCCTTACATTGTACTAGTACTGTGTTATTGACTAGATATTAAAATAAAGGATTAAAAATGCTGATCTTTCGTCAAAGTACACGTTTACAAATTCCTTGTGGATAGGAAGCCGAAATGCAAAGGGTCTCTACAAACATTAATGTTCAGTATTTGGTAACCAAACTGGTGTACTAGTTTACATAGGGAATGCAAATTCTTCATTTTTGATCCAGTCCCATTGAAATATACACGATTTTATTGACAAATATTTACATTTCCAATGTCTTTTTCCGAGATAAAATTACAAATTGTAAAAATACTTTATTTCTACATAAATCTACTGGTTCATCGATAGGCGCGGTTAAAAAAAAATCACGTGCGGGGCGGGACAAATAGAGACAGAAGCGAGGCTATTAGCATGGGAATTTGCAGAATCAGGAGCATGTAAATATAAGGAATAACTGTCTTATTTTTTGGATTCATGACGATGATCAATCGATTGGCTTGCATGATAATTTTATGCATAAACGCCTTCGGCGTTTATGCAAATTATCACGCAAGCCACTCGATTGATCACATCATGAATCCAAAAAATAAGACAGTTATTCCTGAAATTGTCGTTAAGCTACGAGTACATTGTAGTTGTATTGTAATATTAATTGTCATGTCTTGTATTATTTTTTGATTTGTGAAATAGATGTGTATATGTATAGTTTAGGATTATAAAATGTATACAAATTGTATATATTGTGTATTTTACTTTGGAATTTTAAAACAATATACAGTCAAACCTCGTTATCTCAAACCCCATGGGACAGAGAAAAAACTTTGAGATATTCGAGGATTCGAGATATCTGGGGTAAAATACTTAATAAGGGATTAGGACTTCCAAATCACTTCGACATATCCATGGTGTTTGAGGTATCAGTGTTTGAGATACCAAAGTTCCAATGTATATATACAATTTATGTACTGGTAAAAGTATAAAATAAAATAATAATCTGTCTGTCTGATCATTTATACCACGTCTACACCATCATCATTGTACTACCACAAAGAAAATGGGGTAAACAAAAATGTGTTACTCTGATAATCAGGATTTTGTCCCTAACACTTGAACATTGCATGTGCAGAACCCTCCTATGTATCTGAATCATTCCATCCTTCTATAGATGACTAAGATTTCTGAGTTGTTTTCTGCTTAGAGATACAAACTAAATACCATCAACTAGCCTACCAGTATGCTAGTTTAAAACAGGATTTTTTAAGTTTGGTGGTGATTTTTTTTTTATTGTGAATAGAGTATTTACTCCCTAAATGTGTATTTGAGTTCAAGCATTCCCTTATTACGCCCCCTTTACTTTGCTGCTGTCTGTCGGTCCACCAACAGTTTCAGTTCATTTTCTTTGCAGAGGTTGCACATACTGAAATGAAATTTGGTATACAGATTTATCATAAGAATATCTAGGTCAAGATCTGTTTTGGGTACGATTGAGCAATTTTTGACAGAGTTATGCCCCCTTGGACTTAGAAAAATTCCAGTTATATGCAGTTTCCATTTTCTTCGCAGAGGTTTTACATACTGAAATAATATTTTGGTATACAGATTTATCATAAAAATATCCAAGTCATGTAATGTTTTGGGTTCGATCAAGCAATTTTTGACAGAGTTATATCCCTTGGACTTAGAAAAATTCCAATTATTTGGGGGAGAGGGCATAAGTGTTTCACAAACATCTCTATCTTTTTTTTTCCAGGGGCTGGGAAAGGGGTCTTTTAGCTTGACATATTGATGATCATTAGAGCATTTTTGAATATTTTTGGGAGGTATGCATTTCGATTGTTTCATAGTTGCAGCCCTTTAACAAATACTTTTGAGCAGAGAGACAGAGAACAATAGATAATCTGGTCATCTTTTGAAACTGCAAGTCATTAAAATAATCAACATTGAATAGCATACTGTATGTGTACATCAATTGGTGTATTCAAAATTTAGCGCAATCATTGGGTACAGAGTTGTTGGCATTATCATGAATTAGTGCGACATTTGATAAAATGTCATTATTAATTTCTCTGGAATTCAGTAATGTTTGAGAACATGCATTTTTCCTTTAAAATTAACTTTTAAAATTGTCTAGCTTGCTGCATCATCATGATAGAGGTTTAATTTGGTCTGTCCCAAGTTTGATTGGTCAGATGATTTGAGTCAGTTTACTGCCATCACCTCCATACACTTCCCTATCATGCTCTTTCATTTCTTTATTTCATTATGGTTACAATTAAATTTTACGTACACAATTATGTCCCCCTGATGCTTGCAATTTTTGTTTTCTCAAAACATTTTCCGTGCAATCGTATCTAGTTACATAGGAAGGAGGGGGTTTGATAAGCAAAATTGATTGTGTTCACAAAGTCCAATGATGGCAAAAAGTATTTTAATTCAAGTTATAAGAACAACAGAAAGCAGGTCTCCTTTTAACAAAACAAATTTTAATTCTCTGAATGTGAAGTCACAAATTTGACAGTTGTAAAATGATCATAATTGATGCAAAAGACTTCTTATGGTACTTTTTTAATTAGAAAATAAAGAGCTCAAGCAGAAAATGGACAGATTTATGTTCTTGACTTCATATCAAATATTTATTACACAGGCATTCAGGCCTAGGCTTCCTCAAGGCACATACCGTCTAAGTGGAATTTTTAGTGAGACGGCAAATTTAGCGATTTGCTCTTAAAAATCAGTATTTAATTTTAGTGATTTTATGGTGCATACAAGGATAAAGGTAACCTCTAATGCAGAATAAATTGTTTGCGATATTTAATTTGACATCTTCTCAACGAACTCGCTAAAAATGCCAAAATTGAATCCTCACTAAAATTTCTGCTTATACAGTACTCTCTGAAGCCAACTGTGCTGTTGAAATTGTCCGTTTTATACTTTAAAAAAAAAAAAAGCACTGAAAATTGGTCTTTTTTTTGAGATGCCACCATAGAAAAAGAAGACCTGTTCTGGCATCATTGATTAAATAGCCTCTGCTAATGACTTTGTCAGACTGGACTGTTTGTCGTACTTGTTGACCATCTGATTGGGCCAGGATTCCATGAACTCACAATGTATTTCCATTTTCCCTTCAGTTCTAAATATAAATTGCAAGAATTTTGCAAATCATTGCAAGATGTTTTTCCTTATCATTGGTTTACCCCCCTTCATCTTTCACTGGATATTTTTGTTGTATCCCACTGCTATGATGTCACAATGGTTATTTTGTGTGAAAGTGATCAGTAACATAATGCTGATATATAAAACAGTGTAAAACATTGAAAGAAATGTATAAAACGTGTGATAAAAAGAATCTCCCATGATTTGTGGTTGGTTATAAATTAATCCAACTCTTATTTTTATTCCCTTGCCAAGGCTCAGGGAAAAAAATGCACAACTCGTTGGATAAAAAGCATATCAAACCAAAAATCATGGGAGACCCTATATATATATATATATATATATATATATATATATATATATATATATATATATATATATATATATATATATATATATATATATATAACTGAAGGAATTGACTGTCAAAGTTGAAATATTAAAACATTGCATGTATTAAAATGGTTGGTGTGCACATTTTAGTTTAACATCTTTGATGTACATGTAAAGAATCAATTGGGCCATGCCCCTTCACTCGCGATAGCAGGAAATTTTGCCAGCTATGAAATCAGTATCTTTCAAAGTTCAATGTGTGACAGAAACGATGTGATCATTTATGTATAACTCTGGAACAAGCATTCTGCAAGTACTGCAAAAGCAATAGTAGTCCCCTATTGGCAAGTGTAATCTGCTTCCCTTTGAAAATTAAAAAGGCCATAATTTTGTAACAAATCACTGAAGTGGAACAAAATGCACACTTGATCTGTGACTAATCAAGGTAGAGTTACATACCAAAAATCAGCTCAATATCTGCAAGAATTTAAACAAGAGGCCCAAGGGCCTTCAATTGCTCTTCTGATATACTGTACAACCTATCACTTCTATTTGGTGATTCTAATCCAAATAGTACCCAAAAAATATTAAATACAGCCATAAAATTTCAAAAGTAGGTCAGGGTGACCTACTTTTCAGTTGTTGTACTCCAAGGACCCAAGATGCATCAACTGACAAAGTTTGATGATTCCAAGCCAATTAGTTCCCGAAATATTTAATTAAAGCCATAAATTTTCAAAAGTAGGTCAGGGTGACCTACTTTTCAGTCGACTTACTCCGAAGACCCAAGATGCACCAACCGACAAAGCTTGATGATTCTAAGCCGATTAGTACCTGAAAATATTTATTTAAAGCCATAAATTTTCAAAAGTAGGTCATGGTGACCTACTTTTCAGTTGACCTACTCCGAAGACCCAAGATGCATCAACTGACAAAGTTTGATGATTCTAAGTCAATTAGTACCTGAAATATTTCATTATAGTCATATAAATTGAAAAGTAGGTCATGGTGACCTACTTTTCAGTCTACCAACTGCGATGACCCAAGATCCATCAACTTACAAAGATTTATGATCATAGGCCTTAAAATGTCCAAATTATGCATCTAAAACGCTTTGAAATCGAATGCCTGCAAATTTCAAAAAGTAGGTCACTGTGACCTACTTTTTGATACATATATTTTATGGCCCCAATATGCATCATCCTGCAAGATTTCATGATTCTAAACCTCTCAGTATCTGAATTATTGACCTTAATTTTTTTGTAAAAGATTAGCCATAAAATTCAAAAAGTAGGTCAAGGTGACCTACTTTTTAGTTGACGTACTTTGAGGACCCAAGATACATCAACTGAGAAAGTTTGATGATCAAAGACCTTAAATTGTTCAAAATATGCCTCTAAATCATTTTGAAAAAAAGAATGGCCGCAAAATTTAGAAAGTAGGTCACCATGACCTACTTTTAAGTCAACATGATATGAGGTCCTTAGATGCATCAACTGACAAGATTTGATGATCCTGGTCCTTATAGTAAGCAAAATATCAACATTTTAATAAAATGTAATTTTTGGTCAACTTTGAAGTGACCTTGAGACCAGGGTGATGCCTTGAACAATTTTTAATCAACAACATATCCTCTTCCTTTTGTGTAAGTTTGGTGATAATCTGCCCAGTGGTTCTTGAGAAGAAGATTTTTTAGCAACCAGTTCTTTTGTTTCTATTTTCCTAATTATATCCCCTTGTTTAAGGGTCACAACCCTAGTTTTAGTATAAAAGGGAGCCCTTGGGTCAAGGATACCCTGTGAAAAATTTGACAATAACTGGCCTAGGGGTTCTTGAGTTATGGCCCATATTCTAAAAAGTTTACGTACACCGCACAAATGGCCATTGCATTAGCTCTTTGAGCCTTTGGCTCAGAAGAGCTAACAAGAGGCCCATGGGCCACATCGCTCACCTGAGCACATTGGCTAGGGGAAAAAAAAAAACAAAAATCAGTTTAGAATTGAAAAGTTAATGGGGGGGGGGGGAGGGATTTGAATTTTAAACTACCTGATGATGCTTTCATATCAATATAACAAATGGCATTGCTGTTCCTGAGCATGAGGTTTTTTCCCATATATTCATTTGTAAAAATTTGATCCCCCATTGTGGCCCCACCCTACCCCCGGGGTCTCTCATTTGAACAAATTTCATTCTACACTACCCAAGGATGCCTCCATATCAATTTGACTAATCATGGCTTTTCTGTTCTTGAGAGAAAGATTTTTTCCTGTATATTTCTATGTAAATCTTTGATCCCCCATTGTGGCCCCACTCTACCCCCAGGGGTCATGATTTAAACAAACTTGAATCTGCACTACCTGAGGATGCTTCCATATAAATATGACCAATCATGGTTTTGCTGTTCTTAAGAAGAAGATTTTTTTAAATATTTTCCTATATATTTCTATGTAAAAATTTGATCCCCCATTGTGGCCCCACCCTACCCCCAGGGGTCATGATTTGAACAAACTTGAATCTGCACTACCTGAGGATGCTTCCATATAAATATGACCAATCATGGCTTTGCTGTTCTAAAGAAGAAGATTTTTAAAGATATTTTCCTATATATTTCTATGTAAAACTTTGATCCCCCATTGTGGCCCCACCGTACCCCCCCCCCCGGGTCATGATTTAAACAAACTTGAATCTGCACTACCTGTGGATGCTTCCATATAAATATGACCAATCTTGGCTTTGCTGTTCTTAAGAAGAAGATTTTTAAAAATTATTTCCCTATATATTTCTATGTTAAAATTTGATCCCCCATTGTGGCCCCACCGTACCCCGGGGGTCATGATTTAAACAAACTTGAATCTGCACTACCTGAGGATCCTTCCATATAAATATGACCAATCATGGCTTTGCTGTTCTTAAGAAGAAGATTTTTTAAAATATTTTCCTATATATTTCTATGTAAAATTTTGATCCCCTATTGTGGCCCCTTCCTACCCCTGGGGGTCATGATTAGAACAAACTTGAACCTAAACTACCTGAGGATGCCTCCATATAAATATGACCAATCATGGCTTTGCTGTTCTTAAGAAGAAGATTTTTAAAGATATTTTCCTATATATTTCTATGTAAAACTTTGATCCCCCATTGTGGCCCCACCCTACCCCCGGGGGTCATGATTTGAACAAACTTGAATCTGCACTACCTGAGGATGCTTCCATATAAATATGACCAATCATGGCTTTGCTGTTCTTAAGAAGAAGATTTTTTAAAATATTTTCCTATATATTTCTATGTAAAACTTTGATCCCCCATTGTGGCCCCACCCTACCCTCGGGGGTCATGATTTGAACAAACTTGAATCTGCACTACCTGAGGATGCTTCCATATAATTATGACCAATCATGGCTTTGCTGTTCTTAAGAAGAAGATTTTTAAAGATATTTTCCTATATATTTCTATGTAAAACTTTGATCCCCCATTGTGGCCCCACCCTACCCCCGGGGGTCATGATTTGAACAAACTTGAATCTGCACTACCTGAGGATGCTTCCATATAAATATGACCAATCATGGCTTTGCTGTTCTTAAGAAGAAGATTTTTTAAAATATTTTCCTATATATTTCTATGTAAAACTTTGATGCCCCATTGTGGCCCCACCCTACCCCCGGGGGTCATAATTTGAACAAACTTGAATCTGCACTACCTGAGGATGCTTCCATATAATTATGACCAATCATGGCTTTGCTGTTCTTAAGAAGAAGATTTTTAAAGATATTTTCCTATATATTTCTATGTAAAACTTTGATCCCCCATTGTGGCCCCACCCTACCCCCAGGGGTCATGATTTGAACAAACTTGAATCTACACTACCTGAGGATGTTTCCACATAAGTTTCATCTTTCCTGGCCCAGTGGTTCTTGAGAAGAAGATTTTTAAATGATGCCATTATTTTTTCACTAATTCCTAATTATCTCCCCTTGAAAGGGGGCTTGGCCCTTCATTTGAACAAACTTGAATCCACTTCACCCAAGGATACTTTGTGGCAAGTTTGGTTGAATTTGGCCCAGTGGTTCTTGAGAAGAAGTCGAAAATGTGAAAAGTTTACAGACGGACAGACTGACGGACGGACGACGGACAAAAAATGATCAGAAAAGCTCACTTGAGCCTTCGGCTCAGGTGAGCTAAAAACCAAGTGGGACAGACGGACATACATGTAGGGACAGAAAGATAGCCGGACAGACAGACAGAAGGGGAAGCAACCTATAGTCCCCTCTGGTTTCTCCGCTAGAGAGACTAATAATAATAGTCTGACAAATAATTACTTCTGCATTCCCTTTTTTGCATTGCAGGTGATGAAGAAAAATAAAAACACAGTATAAATCAGTACAAAGTATCTATCTTTTATTTTTTCCCAGTTTTTTTCCTCCTTTAGTTGCTTTTCCTTTTTTTCCTTTCATTTTATTAGACTTTTTCTCTTTAACATTGTCCTTTTTCATTCGGGGATCGACTACCCTAAAGGGCCCCTGTACCCCATGTGGGCGCCTCACTCTTTTTCCAGTCCCCTTTTTAGCTACCACATAGGTTATTTCTTTCTTCTTCTTTGACAGTAAACCAGCTTTCTTGTAAATTCTGTAATAGAGAATCAATATACTATTACCTAGAATATGTGGAAAGAAGTAATGTGTTATCTAGAAATGGTTTGCCTGGGCATGGATACATTTACTAGAAGGGGAACAAAACAGGTCTCCTCAACACCTGTTGTCTTTATGGGTATATCACTTTTTATCTATGTTTTATGGGAAAAAATAGATATCTACATGTTTTTTATTAACCAGTCTAGCAATGAGACTAATTAAAACTGAATGGGTTGAAAAATTATCTGGATTTTTTTAAAAATAAAAACCTACTGTTTAATCTGCATCCATTTATCTCTGTCAGCAATATCAGCTGTATCAGAAATCGCCTCAGCCTTCTTCCTTACTCTCTCCAACTTTTTCACTTCCTGAAAGAAACAAGATCCAAGTCAAATTATAACCAATAAAAAGTTTCATTTCATAAAGAATTGCTTTCTCTATATTTACAACATTTTTTTAATTTGTGATTCTCATAAGCAAACTTCGTTTCCAAAATGAATCATACCTTCCGTTTTTTTCTGGCTTTAGCCTCGGCAATCTTTTTTATTGGCCTTGCATTGAGTGCCTTCATTTTCATTTTATATTCTTCAATCTCTCCCTGTTTAATGACACATGCACAGAACATCTGATATGGGTATACATAATGTAATCAGAGACACCATAAATAACAGGGTTTTTTGTTTACCTTAGAGACTGGGAGTTGAATTCTACAGTGCTTAGATTCATCTTGAACAAACCAGTCTGGAAGGTTGTCATCATTAAACATGTACCTGCAAAAAGTTAACCCATGATTAAATTCTTTTCACATATTGGTTCTAACTAAATAGAAACAAATGTAAAAGACACTCTTTTGAACATACAGTTAAACTTCATCTCAAACACTGATATCTCAAATACCAAGGATATCTTGAAGTTGGTTAAGTCTCAACTGCCTTTTCTTTATGTATTTTAACCTCCATATTTCAAATACTCTGATATATCAAGTTTTTCTTGGTCCAATTGAGTTGGAGATTTGAGGTTTGACTGTACTTTTATGTGCAAATTCCTTGCTTCAGTAGGCAGTTTCTCTCTCGCCCTCTCTCAGTTCATCAAACTAACACACAACTGAATATATACACTCGATATCGCTAATTTTGATATACTGTACATCTTGAATATCTTTTTGTATAGCTAATAAATAGTTTGTAATTAAAACATAGGTAATCAAAGATTACGAAGCTCACCTCGACGAATGTTATCTATAAGTAATGCAAATTTCACATCAAATTTTTTTTCCAGTTAGTGTACATCCAAAGATCAATATCCATGCAAGTTTGATTTAAGTAGGACTTAAAGTTACTTGGAAATAGATCTGCTCAAAAACTTTTAACCTCTTTACTACTCAAGAAAATTTTGGTCAGTTCCAAAATCCAAAGCAAGTCTGGAATCATCCTTATATGCAACATTTATACAAAGTTTATCATAACAGGCCATAATATTATATAGCTACTCAAAAAAATTATCTTGGTCACTCTTCTGGAAAATGTAGGTGAGATTCAGAATCCAAAGCAAATCTGAAAGTATCCATCCCTAGATACATCATCCATGCTAATTTGGTTAAAATATGGCTAAAATTCACTCATGTAAAAAATCTAGGTTGGATCCAGCATCTGAAGCAGGTGAGTTACTGTACATCCCTGTTTGGTCCAGGAAGGGCTTATAGTTACTTGGGAATGGACCTGCTCCAAAAACTTTAACCTGGTCACTCATGTGGAAAATCAAGGTCAGATTCAGAATCCGAAGCAAGTGTAGTAGTGTCCATCTCTAGATGCATCATCCATGCAAGTTTGGTCTAGGTAGGGTTTATAGTAACTTGGGAATGGAATGGACCTGCTTCAAAAACTTTAACCTGGTCACTCATGTGGAAAATCTAAGTCAGTTCCAGCATCCGAAGCAAGTGTGGTAGTGTCCATCCTTAGATGCATCATTCATGCAAGTTTGGTCTAGGTAAGGCTTATAGTTACTTGGGAAGTGACCTGCTCCAAAAACTTTACCCTGGTCACTATGTGGAAAATCTAGGTCAGATTCAGAATCCGAAGCAAGTGTAGTAGTGTCCATCTCTAGATGCATCATCCATGCAAGTTTGGTCTAGGTAGGGTTTATAGTAACTTGGGAATGGAATGGACCTGCTTCAAAAACTTTAACCTGGTCACTCATGTGGAAAATCTAAGTCAGTTCCAGCATCCGAAGCAAGTGTGGTAGTGTCCATCCTTAGATGCATCATTCATGCAAGTTTGGTCTAGGTAAGGCTTATAGTTACTTGGGAAGTGACCTGCTCCAAAAACTTTAACCTGGTCACTCATGTGGAAAATCTAGGTCAGATCCATCATCCGAAGCAAGTGTGGTAGTGTCCATCCCTAGATGCATTATCCATGCAAGTTTGGTTCAGGTAGGGCTTATAATTACTTGGGAAGGGACCTGCTCCAAAAACTTTAACCTGGTCACTCATGAGGAAAATCTAGGTCAGATCCAGCATCCAAAGCAATTGTGGTAGTGTCCATCCCTAGATGCATCATTCATGCAAGTTTGGTCTAGGTAAGGCTTATAGTTACTTGGGAATGGACCTTCTCTAAAAAATTTAACCTGGTCACTCATGTGGAAAATCTAGGTCAGATCCAGCATCCGAAGCAAGTGTGGTAGTGTCCATCCCTAGATGCATCATCCATGCAAGTTTGGTTCAGGTAGGGCTTATAATTACTTGGGAACGGACCTGCTCCAAAAACTTTAACCTGATCACTCATGTGGAAAATCTAGGTCAGATCCAGCATCCGAAGCAAGTGTGGTAGTGTCCATCCCTAGATGCATCATTCATGCAAGTTCGGTCTAGGTACGGCTTATACTTACTTGGGAAGGGACCTGCTCCAAAAACTTTAACCTGGTCACTCATGTGGAAAATCTAGGTCAGATCCAGCATCCGAAGCAAGTGTGATAGTGTCCATCCCTAGATGCATTATCCATGCAAGTTTGGTTCACGTAGGGCTTATAATTACTTGGGAATGGACCTGCTCCAAAAACTTTAACCTGGTCACTCATGTGGAAAATCTAGGTCAGATCCAGCATCCCAAGCAAGTGTGATAGTGTCCATCCTTAGATGCATCATCCATGCAAAATTGGTCCAGGTAGGGCTTATAGTTACTTGGGAATGGACTTGCTCCTAAAACTTTAACTGGGATGCCGACGCTAACACTGATGCCGGGGGTATAGCATAAGTTCATCTCGACTTCCTCGAGGTGAGCTAAAAAAAACTATTAAAAGTCTAGAGAATATTAGCGTTTGATATCTAAGCGTTTTATTGAATGCTGACTTTGCAATACGTATACGAGTATGCTCCGAAACAATCCAATGCGAGTGTTCAATATGGAACGCCTCAATGTAAACAAAGAATGTCATCTGGTCAAACACTCAGTAGCAATATTTATGATGGGTAGTGGTAGGCTGGTAGCTAAGTAAGATTTGTTCAATTTTCATACAAAACTGCAATTCTTAATGAATAATTTAGTACCTATTGACCAAACACACACCCTCAATAAGCAAATCATAACACTTAATAGGGTCATTAGAATGATGTGATATTGAACACTTCCAGGACAGACAATGATTTTGCACAGTTTTAATTTAAATACTGAAACTGAAAAATTCTCTTGAATTTTGAGTTATTTAAAATCAAATCAATGGAAAAAGATTAAGCTATATACTAAAGGCGTTATTGAACTTACATTGGTGAATATAACTTTAATAACCTTGTAATATCCTATAGTATATTACCCTAGTACTGATCCTGTATCCATTATTAGTTTTTTAAGAGCAGTATTATCATGTGAAGCATTGACAAAACAAAAATTTACCGACAAAACTGTGTGGATGCAAACTGCTAATAATGCAGATTCTCTGTATAAATCAATATCCTGGTTGACAAATCACCTTGTCAAGAATATAATTAGTCAGTTAATTTGATACAGTTTACTCTGTTTAATGGATTTCCCATAGTTTTACCTGTGGTAGCCTCCCTCTATGACTTCCCTCTTCCTCTTTCTGGATTGGACTATCTGAGATCCAATAGCCATACCTACTGCATCTAGTCTGGGAAGACTTTCATCTTAAAAATCAATCAAAACACTGTAGCAAGATTGTACTGCACTTGTGCAGTAGAACATTTTTCATTAATTCATTCATTTCCACTAGATCTATACATAATTATACATAACATTCAATAGCTGAAGAATAATATAATTGAATACTTCTAACATGATGGCTGGAAAGAGATTCTATTTTCATATAGTTTATTTGTTGGTTTCTCTAAGAACTTAAACAAGAGGCCCATGGGCCACATCACTCACCTGAGCACATTGGCTAGGCAAAAGCACAAATAAGTTCAGTATTGAAATGATTACAGGGGGGGGGGGGGGGGGGGGGGGGGCTTGAATTTTAAACCAGCTGATGATGCTTCCATGTCATTATAACATATGGCTTTATTGTACTTGAGAAGATTTTTTAAAAAATTTCCCATATATTCCTTCGTAAAACTTTGATCCCCCATTATGGCTCCTCCCAGGGGTCATCATTTGAACAAACTTGAATCTACACTACCTGAGGATGCTTCCATATCAATATGACTAAACATAGCTTTTCTGTTCTTGAGAAGAAATATTTTTTCTATATGTTCTTATGCAAAACTATTGATCCTCCATTGTGACCCCACCCTATCCCCTGGGGTCATGATTTGAACAAACTTGAATCTACACTACCTGAGGATGCTTCCATATAAATATGACTCATCATGGCTTTGCTGTTCTTGAGAAGAAGATTTTTAAAGGTTTTTTCCTATATATTTCTATGTAAAACGTTGATCCTCCATTGTGGCCCCGCACTACCCCCGGGGTTCATGATTTGAACAACTTGAATCTACACTACCTGAGGATGCTTCCATATAAATATGATTTATCATGGCTTTGCTGTTCTTGAGAAGAAGATTTTTAAAGGTTTTTTCCTATATATTTCTATGTAAAACTTTGATCCTCCATTGTGGCCCCGCCCTACCCCCGGGGGTCATGATTTGAACAAACTTGAATCTACACTACCTGAGGATGCTTCCATATAAATATGATTTATCATGGCTTTGCTGTTCTTGAGAAGATTTTTAAAGGTTTTTTCCTATATATTTCTATGTAAAACTTTGATCCTCCATTGTGGCCCCGCCCTACCCCCGGGGGTCATGATTTGAACAAATTTGAATCTACACTACCTGAGGATGCTTCCACATGTGTTTCATCTTTCCAGGCCCTGTGGTTCTTGAGAAGAAGATTTTTAAATGTTGCTATTAATTTTTCACTAATTCTTTATTATCTCCCCTTGAAAGAGGGCGTGCCCCTTCATTTGAAAAAACTTGAATCCCCTTTACCCAAGGATACTTTGTGTCAAGTTTGGTTGAAATTGGCCCAGTGGTTCTTGAGAAGAAGTCGAAAATGTTAAAAGTTTACAGACAGACAGACGGACAGACAGACGGACAGACAGACGGACAGACAGACAGACAGACAGACGGACAGACAGACAGACGGACGCTGGACAAAAAATGATCAGAAAAGCTCACTTGAGCCTTCGGCTCAGGTGAGCTAACAAGTTAAAAGGATTTCACTGAAATTTCAAGAAAGGATGCATCCAGGCCTAAAGAAGGATTCTGAGCATTCATTCAAAAAAAGTAGATATGTGATTTTTTTTTTCTAGATTGTTACTGATAACAACAGAAAAACCTGAAAATACTGAAGATCTAAATAAATAGATTAAAGTTCAATTGTTTTGAAAAACAAACCTTGTGGAACAACTTCAAATCCTCCTTTCTTTGAGGGCTTGCCATTTTGAATATTCTGTTTATTTCTAATTTCATTGATGTCATAATCACTATCTGATGAATCTCCATCATCATCATCTTCGTCATCATCATCATCATCACTTGAATTACTAGAGCCTAATTTAGTGTTGGTAAAATTGTCAGATTCAAAACTCTGCTCTGACAATCCACTGTCAATATCATCTACAAAAGAGTGATATAAATATATACAACAAAAAATACTTATAGTAAAGTGCCGGGGGAAAATAATATTGATTTGTTATAAACATAATTCATTATAACTATTAAGTTCAGAATAAACATTTAAACCATGGGGAATGAAAATCACCTCATGCTTATCATGAATTTACTATAAGAATGTTTGCTATAATCATGTTTTACTGTGTAATATCTTGAAGTGAAAATACTGGACGCAGAGAATGGGTTCACAATTTGATCTTGACTGTGGCCCATAAGGTAACACTATATCCTTGATATTGAACTAATGTACTTTACGATGAATAAAACATTTTGGACCCTTGAGAACTAATAAATCTAATTTAAGGCTTTCTTTTAATCATTCAACAGCAGTGTATTTTACTGATTTCTATAAAAACACAAAATTTAAACTGACCCACAATTTTCCCTCCTTTTTTCTTGTAGTTGGCAGCCATTGTTTGAATTTCCATGTCTTCATCATCATCATCCTCTATACCTGCAAATGATGCCTGCAGAGAAAATATAACAATGAGCATGGTCTGTTCCTCCTGTAAACAATCTCTTTGTATTTATTGTATTTTTTTTAAGAAAAAAAATACTACGTGTAAAATATCACATATCTATGTCTTGGTATCATGTAGGTACTGAGAAGGAAGATTTCAAAACATGGCTGAAATTGCAACTCTGTGGAAAATACATAACAGAAATCATGTGATTCACAAATATCAAAATGTGCTCAATTTTAAATTCATGTTATTTACAAAGCTTTGTCCTGTAGAATGACAACTAAATATATTATCTTATGGAACCATGCCTTGTACTTGTTTTTAGTCGTGCTGTCTTTGTCCTGTAGACTGACAACTAAATGTATCACCTTACTGAACCATGCCTTGGACCTTTTTTTAGTCATGTCGTCTTTGTCCTGTACACTGATAACTAAATATATTACCTTACTAAACCATGCCTTGGACCTGTTTTTCAGTGATTCCGTCTTTGTCCTGTAGACTGATAACTAAATGTATTACCTTACTAAACCATGCCTTGGACATGTTTTTTAGTCATACCGTCTTTGTCCTGTACACTGATAACTAAATATATTACCTTACTAAACCATGCCTTGGACCTGTTTCTTAGTCATACCGTCTTTGTCCTGTTGACTGACAACTAAATATATTACCTTACTGAACCATGCCTTGGATCTGTTTTTAGTCATGCTGACTTAGTCCTGTAGACTGACAACTAAATATATTACCTTACTGAACCATGCCTTGGACCTATATTTAGTCATGCTGTCTTTGTCCTGTAGACTGACAACTAAATATATTACCTTACTGAACCATGCCTTGGACCTATATTTAGTCATGCTGTCTTTGTCCTGTAGACAGACAACTAAATATATTACCTTACTGAACCATGCCTTGGACCTGTTTTTAGTCATGCTGTCTTTGTCCTGTAGACTGACAACTAAGGGATTTCCATCTTCCTCCTCCTCAAATTCTCTGTGATAAAACACAATGTGATCAAAATGGCTATAGTTACAGAATCACCATTGTAGTAATTGTGAAATATTGTACTGGAATATGTTTAGTGCATGATCTTAAAGCATTCACTATCTTTTGGCCTTATTTAAGAGGGCTGGGTGGTCGTGGCCATTTTTAGACTATATTGATCTCCTTTAGAAGAAGAGCTCCATATAAAGATATACAAAAATGATCAAATTTTAAAACTAAAATGCATGAATTTTTGCTTTGCCAAATGACAATTAACAGCTTAAAATATCACATCTAAAACAAGAGGCCCATGGGCCACGTAGCTCACCTGAGCACATTGGCTAGGCAAAAGCGCAAATCAGTTCAGTATTGAAAAGATTACCTGGGGGGGGGGGGGGGGGGGGGGGGGGCTTGAATTTTAAACTACCTGATGATGCTTCCATGTCAATATAACAAATGGCTTTATTGTACTTGAGAAGATTTTAAAAAAAAATTCCCATATATTCCTTTGTAAAAATTTGATCCTCCATTGTGGCTCCTCCCTATCCCAGGGGTCATCATTTGAACTTGAATCTACACTACCTGAGGATGCTTCCATATCAATATGACTAAACATAGCTTTCCTGTTCTTGAGAAGAAATATTTTTTCTATATGTTCTTATGTAAAACTTTCGATCTCCAAATGGGCCCCATCCAACCCCTGGGGGTCATCATTTGAACAAAATTGAATCTACACTACCTGAGGATGCTTCCATATCAAAATGACTAATCATGGTTTGCAGTACTTCAGAAGAAGATATTTTCCTATATATTTCTATTTAAGACTTTGATCCTCCATTGTGGTCCCATCCTACCCACGGGGGTCATGATTTGAACAAAATAGAATCTACACTAACTGAGGATGCTTCCACATAAATATGATCAATCAGGGCTTTGCTGTTCCTGAGAAGAAGATTTTTAAAATTTTTCCT